AAATAAAAACGTGTATTTCAATAAAACACAAATAAATTAACAGCAATGAACCAAAACGTTAACATAAACATAAATACTGACAAACCGGGATAACTTTGCGAAACTCAAATTCTCTAGCCTAAAGTAACATAAATAAATCGTACTGAAAACGTAAAATTTGAACAAAGTACTACTGGCCCAACGGGAATTTACCAATTAGATCTACCAATGTACAAAAATATACAGGGCGAGTTGCTTCTTCCTGCGCGATGAAGAGATCTGCTGAACTGACACTGAGAGAACGCAAAGTTGAAGGATTTAGCACGCTAAACTAAAATAGTAGTTTTCGATACAAGAGCGAAAAATGTCTTTTTTTTTACGAAAAACAAATTTTCGCCCTCGTATCGAACACTATTTTTTATTCGAATAAAAGATTGCACGAATAATAAAATGCATCGATTTCATATTTAAAATATTGTTTTCAACTTGAAACACCAGTGGTCTTGGGATGGTGTATGCATGTTGCATACTCTGCATGACATTTGCGCTTCTTAAAAAGATCGTGTTTTACGTGTGACAACATCGCAAAAGTAGATAAGTAGGGCATTAAAACGATTATGAGACTGAACTTGTAACAAAGGTATAATTTACAAATTGTAAGTAAACTTGAAAATAGGATCAATAGTTGTTGATAAACCTACGTAATTCCTTAAAAAAGCATTTCGGTTATTTTGAAATAAAAATACTAAAAAATATATAATGACAGTGGCAAGTTCAAAGTGTCACATTTACTTTGTCGCACACTGTGCTTCTTTTTGATCATCGCTTCTGTTCGCAAAATGGCACTTTTTGATTCATTCGAATAGAAAAACCTTTTGAACTCCTGTTGTCTCTTTCAGTTCAACCCACCGCTTCACTACGCATAGAAACGCTTATCCTCCCCCTCATACCAACAGCATCAAAACTCAAGCAGAATCAAAAATCACTTTCCCAGGCCCCAAGAGAAGGCCGCGTTAAACAATAAGGCCATCACCCACCTCCGAGCTGAAGGTCACTTGGGGAAGGTTCAATTTTCTCCTGCGATAGTCCATGGAGGTAGTGTTTGTTGAACAAACAGTGGAGGGCCTGCGAAGCGCCGAAGCTACTGGAGTGCCACCTGGAAGGTTCAAATTGCTGTTTGTTCTAGAACTGGGCGCTACCAGAGTGGCGGTTTTCTGATGGACGTTGGGCACTGAACCATTCCGCGAGGGGTTTCTTCGGAATATTTCCAATGTTAATTGACTTCCGTAGGATCTGAAACCATGCCATCAATCATGCAAATTTTCCGTCCGTGCCACTAAGCGTAAAGTTAGGTGTGAGCTAACGGCAATTTGCCATCTGGTGAATGATTAACTGGTTAAACACTCACCTAATGAGGTTGAGAATATCAATCTCGGGCATCATAACAACGTTGTGTTTATCCACGAAAATTATATAGTCGCCTGGCAGGATTCCAGCCCTTTCGGCCGGCAGCCCCTTTTCCACCCGCTCGATCCGGGGAGGGTGCGTCCAGACGACCGAGAAGCCAAACCCCGACTTGGCCGGCCGAATCAGCCTCTTAGTTTGAGTGAACGGCGTCCTGCAAATCAACTCTTTGCACCCGAAGAAACCTTCAACTCCTCCCTCTTACCTGCCGAACTTGTTCCCGGTGGCCTTCCGCTGCATGGCAGCAGGAATAGCGTCTGGACCTTCGATTGGATCCAGCTCCAAATACCGCAGGAACAGATGCTCGTCTGCATGCTTCTGCTGCTCGCTCAGCACGGTTTTGTTCGTTGATCTGCAACAGACTGTTGGAACTCGGAAAACTTCCCTACTGCTGAACTAACCGTTTCAGTTCAGTCTCAATCCCGTCCAGACTTAGTATCTCTTCAAGGACGCTTTCCGCACAACTTTCCTGGTTATTCTCGCCCATGTTGCTCGAGGATTCAATTAGGCCATTGGTTATCGCCGCATGGTTCAAGCGGCCTTCGCCTTGCGGCAGCAGTCGGTAGGAGCCTTCGATGCCCTGCAAAAGCCCAATAAAGATGGTAAGTCCTTTTTTAAAATTTAGCTTAAAATTTAGTTTAAAAAAGGGATTTAGTTCAAAAGAAGCAAAGGCATCAATTGCATAAACGGGCTGATGAGATGACGCTCATCGATTTCCAGTTGAATGGTTTGCGCGATATAGAAGTATTGGCGCAAGGTGTATGAAGGAGATTTTCATTTTTAGCGTCAACGGGGTTTTCCATTAGCCCAGTTTTTCCTGATTTTATTTTTAGCGCTTAATCGGTAATTGTATTCGCGTTTGGGCTAAAAGTAGCTCCGCACTTTTCTTGACGAGCCCGGCGCCAACAGGAATGCAAAATGCGGTCCATTRAAGGTAGATTCATCTTTSTGACCTTCTTACGTCGAAAGGACGGATCTATTGAGCTCAAAAAACGCGCWTGTGAAATTTTGATTTTTGGCCGAAATTTTTCCAAGGGYGGGGGTCGATTTTTTGAAAAACTGGAAATTTTCTCAAAATGTGTTRAATTTTGCATCATTTTYAGCTCACRGACTCGAGGAATGCATCGCAMTCTTYGAGAAACGTGYTGGAAGTTTTAGATGCGAAATAATAGACATTTTCTTTAGCCGACGATTTCTTTAGAGAGAACTTTAGCCGACGATTTCTTCCTTATTTTTGACCCAAACACTTTATAAATGCACATTTGTGACCTTCGTACGTCGAAAGGAATCGATCGAGGTCAGAAAACACGCATGTAAAATTTTGAGTTTTGGCCGAAATTTTTCCAAGGGTGGAGGTCGATTTTTTGAAAAACTGGAAATTTTCTCAAAATGTCTTAAATTTTACATAATTTTCAACTCACGGACACGATGAATGCATCGAACTCTTTGAAAAACATGCTAGAAGTTTCAGATCCAAAATAATCGACATTTTCGGCACATTTTAAGCGTTTTATGAGCGTTCAGGATCTTTAGCCGACGATTTATTCCTTATTTTTGACCCAAACACTTTATAAATGCACATTTGTGGCCTTCTTACGTCGAAAGGAGTCGATCAAGCTCAAAAAACACGCATGTAAAATTTTCAGTTTTCGCCGAAATTTTTCCAAGGATAGAGGTCGATTTTTTGAAAAACTGGAAATTTTCTCAAAATGTCTTAAATTTTACATAAATTTCAACTCACGGACACGATGAATGCATCGAACTCTTTGAAAAACATGCTAGAAGTTTCAGATCCAAAATAATAGACATTTTCGGCACATTTTAAGCGTTTTATGAGCGTTCAGGATCTTTAGCCGACGATTTCTTCCTTATTTTTGACCCAAACACTTTATAAATGCAAATTTCTGACCTTYTTACGTCGAAAGGAACCGTTTGAGTTCAAAAAATACGCATGTGAAATTTTAATTTTTTCGTCGAAATTTTTCCAAGGGTGGAGGTCGATTTTTTCCAAAAATTAAAATTTTCTCAAAATGTCTCAAATTTTACATCATTTTCAGCTCACGGACGCGAGCAATGCATCGAGGTCATTAAAAAGCATGGTAGAAGTTTCAGATCCGAAATAATAGACATTTTCGGCACATTTTAAGCGTTTTATGAGCGTTCACGATCTTTAGCCGACGATTTCTTCCTTATTTTTGACCCAAACATTTTATAAATGAACATTTGTGGCCTTCTTACGTCGAAAGAAATCGATCGAGCTGAAATTTGAAAAAAAGTTGAAATTTTTTCAAGGGTGGGGGTCGATTTTTATAAAAAACTGGAAATTTTCACAAAATGTCTTAAATTTTGCATCATTTTCAGCTCACGGACACGATGAATGCATCGAACTCATTGAAAAACATGCTAGAAGTTTCAAATCCGAAATAATAGACATTTTCGGCACATTTTAAGCGTTTTATGAGCGTTCAGGATCTTTAGCCGACGATTTCTTCCTTATTATTCATCCAAACACTTTATAAATGCCCATTTCTGACCTTCTTACGTCGAAAGGAATCGATTGAGCTCAAAAAACACGCATGTAAATTTTGATTTTTAGACGAAATTTTTCCAATGGTGCAGGTCGATTTTTTTAAAAACTGGACATTTTCTCAAAATGTCTTAAATTTTACCTTAAGATTTTCGCACAGATGTTCGCCGTCCTTTAAAAATTGCTAATTTTCATTATGGTGCAAGTAGCCACTTGCAATCGCCACTCGAAGCATAAATTGCAAAAATTTCCACTCAAATAGCAGTAAATCTGAATTTTTGCGAATTTTATTCGTACGAGTACGAGTCTCAAAATCAATTTTCACCCAGATGTTCGCGCCCTTTTCATAATTTCTAATCACTGTCTATTGCACAACCTCTGAGGCTTAAAGTGGTAAAATCCACTCAATTCTAGCGATTCAATGGACTTTCCCTACTAAAATTTGCCCGCCCATTATAAAATAAATCACACAACCTTCCAGCTTATTGCTAAGCTCGCTAAATTCGATTTGTTCTAATCCCGTTTAGCAAATTGGATAAACGATCTTAATCGCGTTGTCTCCAAGTAATCTTCGTGTTTCCGTCCAGATTTTCATTGCTGACCCAAACTGTATTCAAAAATCCATCATTTTGGAAAGCGGGCTGAAAAATCACCGAAGTGCAGAAATCAATGATGGCACAACTGCTGAACTGGATGAAACCAAGCTTCTTTAATTTCCGCATGAATCGCGATTTTAGAGCCCGGCCGGAAGACAATTTCCAGTTTAACGACGCTTTCCAGACTGGAAAACGCAACATTTGGAGCCTGATTTCGCCAGTTTCAGCGCTCATATGAATTGTATCCAAATCAACTTGTTTAGCAAACAATAACTAAAATTTCCCTTTATATATAATTTGTAGCGGGCGGAAAGTTACCAATTTGGAAAAGGATTATAAAAAGTGCCTGAAAATAATCAAACATGTGCGATGTCGGGTTTAATCAATACGAACTTGGCAAATAGTGCAACCCCATTTGGCTTAATTGTAAATAATTCCTAAGCAAATATTCCACCGGCGAAAAACGAAGTGAATAATGGCGCTGAGGGTAATATTTTTTACTTCTTTCGACACGCAAGTGTTTAGCACGTAACGCGCGTCTTCCACCGGAAATGTTCATAGGAAAATATGGGAAAACAGGTGTCGGAACCGGAAGAGTTTTCCACGGTTGCCTCATTTAATAAATCGAGATTTAAAATGAGAAAAACCGGCCAGTTTTGCACCGTTTGGCTCACTTACCTTGCCAAGTGCATCCTCCACATCAAACGACATGCATCCCAAGAAGTCGCTGCTCCTGCAACATCGAAAACCCCATTAAAGGCCAACATAGTCGAAAATTGGAGTTTAATAGCAAATGCCCCTGATTTCACCCTATTTGCCTTAATAGTCACAATCTCTTACAGATGTCCCTTTAGAGGGCAAATGGGGATATAAATAGGCAGTCATTTACTGGGGCTTGCCAATTATTTCGAGTGTACAACCCTTTAGGAGGCGCAAATATGCCCGAAAGCTGCCAATAGTAATTGACGGCTCATCAATTACACGAAATCGGGGGAAAATGAGCACCTTTTCACATGCGGGTGGTCTCAGATCGCCCCTACAAATCAAGGCTATTCAAGTGTATGCAGCAAATTCATCATAAAGTAACACGTAATAATCATCCCTTGATCCGAAGAATATATTTGGCAAATTTCCCCGATTTATTGGCTAAAACCAACATCGCAAACTCGATCTGAAAGTGCCTAAAGCAATCCGTATTCTCATTGTAAGTTTGTGTAATTATAACGGCCATCCAGAGCCTCCACATCTTTCCGACGTCGCAACCAATCGCCTCACGCAAAAGTGCTGTCCTTTTTTAAACCCTTCTTGCGACAGAAAAAAATACAGGTCAGACAAGGGTGAAACCACTTTTTTGTAAGGGCTGGTCTGTTGATCCCAAGAGCTCGAACTGGCCCAGATGCATGATTAATAATTTCCGAAAAAAATTGTTTTCAAACTTTGCGCTGTGCACTTTTGGGACTTCATTTAGCCACTAATCTCCGCTTTCTGATCGCTTTTTCGTCCACCCCTGATTCATTAATTCCGCTTGACATAATCGGTGCTCGCTCTGACCACAAACATTAAAAGCGCGTTTTTTCGGGGTGGTTCAGACGTTTTTCTCTTTGCTCGAGTGGCTTTCACATTGTGATAAGAAGAAAGCGTTGTAATTTGTCGCTTTGTAATTATCGGCCCCGTGGGAGCACCAACGATTCCGGTCAGTTGAAAAATTGTCAGTTAGCTTAAACCGAGAAAGAAAGAAAAACAAGCAAAGTTTCATTATTACGCAAGTGAAAAATTGCACCCAATTTTGCAAACGTATAAAGTTGGGGAAAATGTGGCAAACAATCAATAGAAATCACGTGGCAGTTTGTCGGGAAACTACTGACTGAAGGAGGAAAATATCATAAATCCTTTAGGCCGATAGTTTCCTCCATTGCGCCCTGAATAGTCTTTCTTTGTGGCGCCGCTTTTTTCTGTCTGGTCTGAGGAGAAATTGGGCCCGACGTTTATGTAAAAAGAAAATTGTTCTATTTAGAGCCATTATGATGATGAAAGGAATGAATGAAAAATTGATGAAATTAAAGGTAAAATTACTATGAATCATCATCGTCAAAACATTTGAGAAGGCATCCACTAACTAAAGAAAAATCTTCAAATGTAGACCCTTCTAAACGTAATCAGACAACATGTTTTTTGTTTATTTTTAGCTGAAAAAATTAGATTTTTTGTCCCGAAAATATTACGATGGACTAATGCAAAAAAGTGCAGTTTTAGCCAGAAAAATCGGCTGGTTTCAGCTTAATGTCGAAACAACATTTTGTCTGATTAAACTTGCACACTGCAATTCAATGAGTTTAAAGGAAAATCTCACGAATCTTCCACGCAAGAAGTTGCACTTTTAGTCAGAAAAATCGCCCCATTTCAGCTTAATGATAAAAAAACACTTAAGCTGAAAAAGTTCTTATATGAAAGCAAACCAAACGAACAACTGACAAAACAAAATAAATAACTACTGAAGACAGAGTGAAGCACACAAAAAAATTGTGCTCGAATAAAAATGAATATGAAACTCGCGATAAAAAACGTTAAACTAAAGTAGAAAATCTAACCAATCTTGCAGTGTAAAACATTCTAACATAAATCAAAGTTTTTGCACTTTTAGCAAAAATAGGCTACTTTTTCGAATAAAACTTCAATCTTTACATGAGAGATTCCTAATATTTTTCTCACAAATCCAAAATGCTCCTCCATGTTAAAAATTGCCTTCTTCAGCTAAATATCCAAAAAAACCGTAGCATAATTAAGCTCAGAATGTTCTTTTATAAAACCAAAGCAAAAGTAAAACACTTGGAAAAAAATGCAAATAGATATGAAAATCGCTACTAAAAATCCTTTAATTAAAGCAGAAAGTTTAATGAGTTTCCGAGCGCAAAAGATTCTAAGATCACAGTGTTTTCTTGAACTTTTGCCTGAAATAAGGCCACATTTTCGACTGAAACTGTAATTTTTGCATGGGAGATTTGTAGAGTTTTTCTCAAATATCATAAAGTTTCTTCAATGCAAAAATTTCAACTTTTCATAGAAAAAATAGTCTTCTTTCAGCTTTCTGTTAAAAGAACGTTTCGTCTAATTAAGCTTAGAATGTTCTTCTATAAAACCAAGCCAAATGAACAACAGACGAAGCAAAATAAAGAGCCGCTAACAAAAAATTACTCGAACGCAAATTAATATGAAAGTCGCAGTTCAGATTACGGAATACATTGACTAAAGGAAACAATTTAAGGAATTGTTTAGTGTAAAACGTTCTAAGATTAATCAGAC